CTGTTTTCTGGGAAGAAATCCATTTAATGTTGAACGAGTGCTATAGACACCAAAGACAAGCCTAATTGTAACAAACATTTTGGAACTATTATTAAAAAGAACTCACTTCTGATTTGGACTCATGAGGCCACTGAAACAGGATAAAATTATTGCATCTGTGCCTTCATTTTGTGTCTGTCTCCTTTCCTCTGAGTTACTCATTCACCTTTGTAGATAAGTATATTAATTACTCCAGGAAAACTGAAAGCACAGTGATAACTCATCTTCCTAGACTTTGGATTTCAGCATCGGCAGAGCTGAGCAGGATCAGGCCTCAGATGGAGGCAATTATCTGTGAGGGAAAGGATGCATCCTGTAGCAGGAGTGGCCACCTCCTAAGGACAAATCCATCTCATCTAGAATCAGAGTTGAGACAGTGACCTATCAGTTAACACTTTGACTCAGACTGTCCAATTACACATACTTCTTGTCTTCTATTTTAATTTTCTCTACTTAAATTTAAAGCTCATGTTAGTACCTCAAATGTAGATCTGGGGCCATTGGACACCTCTACTTGTTACTCTAATATGGCTACATTGGCTAAATCTCCTCCCTGTCCATTGCCGTTACTTTGTTTCTTTAACTGATACATTGAGACAGATGCCAACTTGAGCCTGGTGGGGGCTATTGGAGCTACAGCTTTCCCTTTAAAACATCAGTTACACTATGAACTAAAAGGAATTTAGGCTAATCTAACAACATAAACATTCATTTATAAGCCAATTTGATATGATGTAAACAACAAAAATATCAACACATGTAAATGATACATACATATGTGTGATACTCTGCTTCGTTTTTGTCAGCACAAATTTAGACATACCTGGGAAGAGGAAATCTCAACTGAGGAACTGTCTCCAACAGACTGTATGTATATGTAGGCAATTCCATGGGGCATTTTTCTTGATTAATGACTGATAACAGAGGGCCCAGCTCACTATGGACAGTGCCACCCCCAAGTAGGTGGTCCTGGCTTGTATAAGAAAGTAGACTGAGCAAGTTATAAGGAGCAAGCCAGTAAGCAGCATTCCTCCATGGCCTCTGTTTCAGTTCCTGTTTCTAGATTCCTGCCTTGAGTTCCTGTCCTGACTTCCTTCAGGGATGGAGTGTGACCTGAAAGTATAAGAGGAAATAAACTTCCCTCCAAGTTGCTTTTGGTCACGCTATTTATTACAGCAATAGGAATCCAAGACAGAAATTGGTGCCAGGAGTGGGGTAGTGCTGTGACAGACCTGAGTAGGACACACAGTCATCCGTAAAGATAAATTTAAAACAAACCAATTATTTTCTAGCTTTCATTTACATTTCTCACTTGATAATTTTGTAAGACTGTTGATATGATTTTTTTTCACATCACAAAGCAATCATTACTCCTAAGTTTACACTGCTAACGTTATGACTTTTTCTTTAAAATGATGTAGTAAATTTACATCTTAAAGGCTCAGAGAATGATCTAAAAAGCAAAAAGATTGTAATATAGTTGGTCATGCAGATTTAGGTAGTATTGTTTTCTCTCTTAGGATCTAAACAGCAAGGGGAGAGGTCTACTTAGAGATAAAAGTTTCTCATCATTGTTAGCTAGCTAATTTTTTTAATTTTTAAATTTATAGTAAGGGGAAAGTATCCTCTCTGTGCTTTGCTTGTGGATCTAAAAGAAAAAGGGCTTTCTTTGTGGCTGTAAAGATGACTTTGCTGTTAAGAGCATTTGTTGCTCTTGCAGAGGACACAGGTTTGATTTAAATTTGTTAGTGAGAAAAAATATGGCCCCAGGACTATTGACACATTTTTGCTTACAGCTTCCTGTGTTTTCATAGGCTTTAAAAAAAAAGTGTCTTCTAACTTTTCTAAGGAAAAAATAAGGCCAAAAGGAATGGTGCAGGCTAGTTTTTATATGAAGTTGACACAAGCTAAAGTCATTTGGAAGCAGGAACCTCAGTGGAGGACTTCCCCCCAATTCCCCCCACCAGATTGGTCTATCTGCAGCCTGTAGTGCCTTTCCTTGATTGATGAGGACTGAGATCACTGTGGGTAGTGCCACCCCTGTGCACATGGTCCTAGGTTGTACAGGAAAGCAGGTTGAAGCATGCACAGGTCTGCACCAGGTCCTCTGTGCTTATGTTATGGCTTCCAGTTTAGTGTTTTTATGAGTCTCCTGAGTGTGTGAAGGGAGAGTCTCTGATTCTTGTGCCTTCTCTTGGGCTCCTTTCTCTCTGTTTGTTTGTCCTATCCAACTTTGATGTATAGTTTTTGTTTTATCTTATTATATTTTATTTTGTTATATTAAAAAATGAATGAATGAATGAATGAATGAATGAATGAAAACCTAGCCATTAGGGTAAAGGTTAACAACTGAACTGTTATTTATACCTGCTGGGAGAGGGAAAATCAGTTTTCTCCAATCGAGTGACACTAGGCATATCAACCACTTCAGGGCAGGCCTCATGTTCAGGAGTAGTTGACCAACATATAATGGACTCTACATTTTTTGTATGCTTTTATTTGGTTCCAGTTTGGTTGGTTTTATGGGGGCTATTTCTATTTATTTATTTATTTATTTTGGTTTAGGGGGTTTTGCTGTTGTATTGGATTTTTGTGTTTTGAGAAAGAACTTAAAGTTGGGTAAGTAGGGAGGAGGAAAGGATCTGGAAGGACCTGGAGGAGGAAAAGAATATAATCAAAACATATTTAAAGTTAAAAATTGTTTTAATTAATAAAAAATATAATAGAGAATAAAAAAGAGAGAGAGAAAAGAAATCAGGCTGAGTAAGCCATAGGAACAAGCCAGTAAGCAGTGCTCCTCCATGGCCTGTGCTTCACTTCCTGCCTCGGGGTTCCTCCCTGGCTTCTTCAGTGATGGACTGTTAGCTGGAAATGTAATAGGGAATAATAGCCCCTTTCCTCCCCAAGTTGTTTTTTGGGGGGAGTCATGGTGTTTTGTCAGACCCATCAAGACTCTGAGACAGAATCACTAAGTAAGAAAAAGACATAAAAAATTATAGTTAGAAAATATATTTTTGGTAAGAAGATTAAAGAGAAAAGGAAATATTTTCAGGTGAGAAATGATTTTAGATGGAAGTTCTGTCCTAAATGAAAATAATGCTTCAAAATGAGAGGAGGAAAGAGATGAGGACAAAACCCAAAGCTTCAGTGTGGCACAGGACATCTGTGTAAGCCACAAAACGATTCACAAGTGTTAAGACTGTAAAAGATGGTCTGCATGGGATTGTGTTTACTGGGATTTCAGGTTATTTTTCTTATTTTCACATTATTGATAATTCGTATTTTATTGCTCAATCTGCTCTATATATGAGGCAGAAACTGTAAGCTTTCTCAGGTTCTACCCAGCCCAGCGGTCCTGCAGCTGCTTATAAAATAAGCACTCAGAGGCTTAATTACCAGTTGTATGGCCTATGGCAGGCTTCTTGCCAGCTCTCTCTCTCATCTTAAATTAACCCATTTCTATTAATCTATGTTTTGCAACGTGTTTTGTGGCTTACTGGTCTGCTAGCATGGTGTTCCTTGGGTGGCAGGTTGGCGTCTCTCTAGACTCCGCCTTTCTCTTTGCTGTCTCTCTCCTTGGATTTCCCACTTGCCTCTAAGCTGCCTTGCCATAGGCCAAAGCAGCTTATTTATTAACCAATGGGAACAACATATATTCACAGCGTACAGAAAGACATCCCCCAGCCGCATCGATTCACCAAATACCCCAAAATAATTTTTAAATGTGGCTTCTTTGGTTAACAAAAGAAATAAAACAGAGACAGCCTGAATGGCCCCGGGGGGAAAAGTTATAGCCAAGGGAACAAGGGCAGTTAATGTAATAGCTTTACCCCTGGGGAAAGATGCATTTCCCCAGGCAGACAACAACCTGCTGCTCAGAGAAACCCCAGCAGAAGGGAGGCTTTTAAAGCAGTAGTGATTTCGCACAATATGGGAAAACCAGGACACTGGAAAAGGACTGCCCTGGGTGGGGTTCTAAAAGCAAAATCTAGGGCTCTGCCCCTCTGCAAAGAGAGAACCCACTGTGAGGGATGATATCCTTTCTTCTAAATGGAATATAGGACTTCAGCTCCCTTGATGGCTGTCCTTAAGGATGTTACCCAAGGTTCCCTATGAAAACCCCATTGGAGGGCTGAAGAGCTGGCTGGGCAGATAAGAACACTTGTTGTTCTTGCAACAAGTTCTCAGTTCAATTCTCAGCACCCATGTGATGGCTCACAACCATCCTCAACCCCAGTTCTAGAGGATCCAACCGGCATGCATCTAGTACACATACATGCATACAGGTATAACATTTATACACATAGAGTAAAATAAACAAATTAAGAAAAAAAGGATGAAGCCCAGAGTCCCCCAAGTTTTAAGGGCCCGTCTGCTTTGCCTCTGTAGTAGCAACAGGGGAAACTGAGCCACCACCTTTCCTAGCCTGCTACAAAGGACAGCCACACTCCAAGAAAAACTGATTGTTATTTAGATTTTACACTAACACTTACACTAACAAGGACTGTCAGGGAAGAAACTTGAGTATAAAATTTTCCCTGACAAGTATTCTCCGATGTTTACTGATTCTGTTGGAGGCTGGGTAACCACCCAGAGCCAATCTGCTGACAGACAGAAATCATATGCTTATTTTACTCTTTGCAATTTAAAGATTCATTTGATTTAATCATAAAAATTCCCAAACTGGGAGGTGGTGGCGGCAGTGCACATCTTTAATCCCAGCACTCAGGGAAACAGAGGCAGGAGGATCTCTGTGAGTTTGAGGCTAGCCTGGTCTACAGGGAGTTCCAGGACAGCGAGGGCTACACGGAAATCCCATAGTTGCTACAGCATCAGGGCTTTGTTGTTGTTGTTGCATTTGGAGGGAAACAGTCAAGGACCCAGTCCCTACTTTGGTGCCGACATTTCCCTGTAACGGCAGTTACAGGTACCTGTTAGACATTTACCTATTAGATATTCACCTGTTACTGAGGTACTGTGGTGGAGGAATGCTGGGGAGTCTGATCAGAACCAGAGCCCACTTCCCCCAGCCCGGATGAAAGGAGTCGTTTCTTTGGGAGTTCAGGGACTCCAGTGGGCTCCTAGGCAGGAGTAAAACCCCGGCGCTGGTTGGACCTTCCGTCCTATGTAATGGTTTCCTTGAGCCCTGTCGGTCCAGAGCAGCCAAGGTTCCGCGGAGGCTTGCTCAGAGGACAGAGAGCTATTGTGTTCAGCACTGTGATCTGCTGCCCAAAATGAATCCCCACAGGCTGCATTTTGAATGACGTCCCCTTTCCAACTCCACCGCAAACAGTTTGAAAGTGGCGGAGAGAGTTGCCTTCCTAAACTGCCTGGTCCCCGAGGTCCCATGGAAACTACCGTGCCAGGGATGACTGGAGACTAGGTTTGGTTCTCCATCATGATTAAGCAAAACCAGAGCTGTTCCTTGATCCTCCCACTGTTTTGTGTTATTGGAGCAGGTGGCCCAACCTCAAGGCCGGGATACTTTGAATGAACCGAAATGGCCATGTGTGTCGTTATGTGTCACCCGGTTTTTGTTTTTGTTTGTTTTTCTTTTCCTTTTCGGTTTTTTTTTTTGTTTTTTTCTCGCTGCCAGGGTGTGATAGTTTGAAAATCAGGGCAAAACTTCCGGCGGGAGAATGAGATCATCTTCTCAGAGAAAATGCTCAGCAAGTGCCCCCTGGCGGTTGGTTTTTAAATTTTATTCTTGATTGACAATGGTTTGTATATATGCGGTACAGTGTGTCTGACAGGCTTCATGCTAACTAAATACGTTTTCGGCACGAGAGAAGTTACTGCTTGTATGTCTCCAAAGAGTCTCCTGGCCCTCCCCCGCCCCAACTGGGATCTGCCAGGTTCCACCCTTCCCCGTTTGTCAAGAACCCCCATTTGGGTTAGTGTAAGATTTGGGGATTTTGCACGATGTAGTCATGCCTACTACTATTTGAGGGGGTGAATTCACCTAAACTGGTGAATCTTTGGCGCAATAGTGCTGTTAAAACCTCAACACAGGAATTTTAGGTCCTTGTCACCATTTCACTAATACTGACCTGGGCAGGTGTGGTACCCCACCAGAGACACATTACCCACTACTCCTTCAATCCCCACACTCATCCTTTAAAACAGTACCAGCATGTCACTCATCCAAATACCTCCCAAGCTGCCCTGTTTTCTGCATATAAAACCCCGACTCTAGCCAGGCTTTCAAGCTGGCCCGTTTCCTCTCACCTCCCCTGAGACCCAAACCTTTACCTTGTCTTTCTCACTGAACCTCTGTTTGAAAACTAGAATGGCTTTCTCTGAAGTCGGATGAGACACGTTGATTGGCATATGCCTAAGTGCTGTCCACCTTCTTGTTCCCCAGAGGCCCCTGAGCCATCAGTCACCCCCTCCCATCAGCACTGGTAACTGGTGTCCGTCTGTCCCTATGCTTCCTTACAGGTCTCCCGGCCTGGCCTCCCGCTCTGCCACTCTCTGCTGGGGCGGGGCAGCAGCTGCCCTCCACTGGCCTCTCTGGCTCCTGTTTACTTGCCTTGGGGTTCATGATAACCAGAGGCCTCCAGCTACCGTTCGTCCAGGCTCTGTGCTGGTGCCAGGCGTTTGCAATCAGAACTTACAAGCAGAGCCTTATTTAATTTTCATAATTGCCTTGTTGTGGGAGGCTCTATTACTATCCTCACTTTACAGACTAAAGCACCGAGGCTCAGAGAGACTCAGGAACCTACCCAATATCACACAGCGAAGCTGGGAGCAGAGCCGGCCTTGAACTTGGGTCTAGTATATAGCTAATCATTAATTACTGCCCTGAACCTGTGATTGCATTCTTCTCCCCCCTCCTCATCACTCTGCTTGCCACCCGGTCTCCCCTTTGGCATTATAGTCTTGTTTTTCCTGCCCTGTCCTCAAGGCTCAGGCTCCAGCATGACCTCATTCTTGTGTTCTGAATGCTCCCCCACAGTGCAGTGTTCTCATGGCCACCTCCTCTTTTACAAGCCCAGCAGGTCCCTAGCGAGCCCCTGATTTCTTCCACCCTTACTCAGCTGTCACCCCTCTCCTCATCACTGAGCTGTGAGTCTCTCTCTGCCTTGTCTCCTCTGCCCAGTCCACACACCCACCCGACCCCTCAGGGGCTCTGGTGTTACCCCCTCTTTGGCTTTTGCTGACACTGCCTCTGGGCCGAGGATGCCCATCCCCTCACCGCTCCAGGCAAGCTGGGTTCACACTCTGAGGCCTGACTCAAGTGTCCCAGCCTCAGGGACAATGTCTCACTTCTTTCCCAGCCAGGAAGGGGTGTTCCTTCCTTTCTGAATTCTTCCACCCCGCCTATGGCTCCAGTGAATAGGTCCACTCATAATCACTTCCTTCCCTGCTTGAGTTCTGTCAGAGCTGCTGACAGGCACCTAAGCACCTTCCCTGCGTCTACCCCAGCGGTCCACACTCCGGGAGCCCAAACAGCCCTGCCCAATGAGCAGGCAAATGGCTGTTAGAGTTGGTGCTAAGAATGCTGTCTGACTAGCGGGGCATGGTGGTGCCTGCCTTTCATCCCAGCACTCGAGAGGCAGAAGCAGACAGCTCTCTGAGTTCGAGGCCACCCTGGTCTACAGAGCAAGTTCAAGGACAGCCAGGGTCACACAAAGAAACCTTGTCTTTGAAAAAAAAAAGTTGTCTGGTACTGCTTCACACTCATTGGGATGATTATCACCTAAACCCTAGAAAATAACCAATGGTGGTGAGCGGGACTGGACTGCTTACCCCGTTTTTGTTAGTATATTAGCTGTGGAAACAGTAAGGCAGTTCCCCAAAACATTGACCAGGGAATGTCTGTAGACCCAGAAATGATCCAACTTCTGGATACACAGTCAAAAATATGGACAGCGGTGACTTAGAGGGATATTTTCACACCCATGTTTACAACAGCATTATTCCCAATAATCAAAGGTGAAAATAGCCTAAGTTTCTGTTAATAGATGAATGTAATAACAAAATACGGTGTGTATAAACAATGGAATATTAGAAGATTAATTAAAATGAAGAAGATTGTAACCAATGCTCCAGTTTGGGTGAAGCTGGAGGACGTTAAGCTAAGTGAACTCAGCCTGTCCCAGATAGGACACATGCTAGGTGATCCCCTCATACAAGATGCCTAGAGTAACCAAGTGCCGAGGAGTAGAGTGTTGCCAAGGCGTTGGGTAGAGGGGACAATTTGGAGCTATGGTTTATTAAGCACAGTGCTAGTTGAGGAAGATGGGAAAGTTTTGGTGATGGTCAGGGGCGACAGCAGTGTAACCATATGATTGTACACAATTTCCCTGGATTGTACCTGCAGAGACAGGCAAATGGTGATGTACTCTCTGTGAAATTAGAAAACAAAAAGAGACTGTGATCTTCTTGGCAGTGAGTTGTGTTGGAGCAGGGAAGGCGGGGAAGAGGGGACACCTGGGGATATGGAGCCACTGCAAATGTGTCCAGGTCCAGGGTGGCCATGAGGGGCCAGGCCACACCTGTGGGTCAGGCATGGTTGTTACAGATGACGGAGAAGTGGGACTGGGCTGGAATCTTACTCTGTCACCTCCTAGCTTTGGAGCTGTGGGAAAATGGTTGAACCTTTCTGTGGGAGTCCCTGGGAATCAGTTCCTGTGTCACAGGAAGGCCTTACTAGGTGGGAGCTGTCACCTGCTCAGAACATCCAGTGCAGAGGAGCTGGGATCGGATGGTCTGGGCTCCCTGATGGAGATGCTGCATCACCTGGAAGCTGAGCTTGTTTATTATAGAGTTGAACAGGGAGGTGGGGCTGTTGCATACAGATAATTAAGAAGGCAGGGTTATTATATGGGTAGTATATCACACTGTATATCATATGCAGGCAGCTGAACAAAAAGGCAGCTTTAGTTGATCTCTGTAGGTTTAGTCTCTGTGGGGGAGCAGTCTGTACACAGGGGTGGGAGTGTTGGGAGGGAGATAGCGATGGTGGGTGTCTTCTGTACACACCACACGTGGACCAGAGGAAGGCTTTGCCACCCCCCTGAGCCTCATCCAGGGAAGGCTGGTCTAAGGCATTGGGGTCCTTGACACTGCTGTGCCTGTATCAAACATCACACACTCAGGACTCCACTTGCTCCCCACGATGATGCTCAGAGTGTGGATAGAGGTCCAGCTGCACCAAAACCAGCTGGGAGTAGAGCCTGCTCAGGCCCTGCTGAGTCAGAGACAGAGGTGAAGCCGGGGACCGTGTGTTCACGGGGAGCCTCCCATGGCTGAACTCTGAGGAGCCCGGAGATAGGAGCATGAGCTCAGGTATCCCACCATCTGGTTAAGTGCAGTGAGCTCTCAGAGACCAGCTCTCGGCCCAGGGAGGCCCAGATCCCACTGTAAACCTTGTCCTTGGAGGTGGCTGGGATTTGGTTGCCATGTGGTAGGCAGCTCCTTTGAGCCGCAGAGGGGTGGCACCGACTCACAGGGGGGCTTGTGTCCCAGCACTCTGTTGCTTTGCACTGATGGCAGAGAAGGAGGTTGGTGCGTTCTGACAAGCGGTGAAATGATTTGATTGTCCCTCTTGGGGGACTGTTCCCAGAAAGGGGGGGGCAAGGGAGGCAGTGAAATAGAGAGAGATAAGGTGTCTGTTCCGCATTTATCTCAGGGAAGGAGAGTTGAGATATGGTCTCCTCACATGCTGAAAAGGACAGAGAGAAGAACATGACAACAATGAACACTGGCCACAGCTTGGAAGATGTCACAAGATCACATGTCTTCAGCGGGTGTGCCCCCGGAGCATCCTGTCCTTGGACCTCCCTCACTCAAGGGTGCTAACCTGGAGGGACATCAGGGCCCCGTGACAAAGCCACCAGTTCTACGCCCCTGAATCTCGAGACCAGGCCTGTTCCAGCTGCTCTTTCTGGGGCGTAAGATGCTGAGAAGGGCGGCTGAGGACCTGGGGTGGGACACAGGGTTCCCTTCTCTTGTTTCAGGGGTACATGGTCTACCCCTGAGATGTTAGGGGCCGGAAGATTGTTCCTAAAGGAGGGGACAGTGTCTTTCAGGATAGGAGGTCCTCTGGAAGAAGGTCTAGGATGTTTTACAAAACCATCTCAGACATGGGTGTCTACTGTCAAAAGAACATGGTTTCATGGGTCATTCACAGGCAGAATTCATTCATGGCCATTACTGCTGCTCTGTAGCCTCAGCGCAAGGAATTCACCTTTATGCCCTTTGGCAGCAATGGAGACCTTCAGTATGGGGGCCACAGAAGGAACAGGCTGAAGGAAGAGTGTATGCAAGGGACCTAGGGACATCATTAGCTGCATGTGGCTGTGGGAGGCAAGAAGGCTTCTGAAGCCTTATTGAGTTGTAATTCACATAAAACTAAGCACCCTTTTAAAAATATTTATCTTATCTTATGTGTGTGTTTTGTGTATGTGTGTGTGTGTGTGTGTGTGTGTGTGTGTGTGGTGTGTGTGTGTGTGTGTGCCTGAGTGTATGTACACATACCACATGTGTGCAGGAGCCTGAGGGTGTTAGAAGAGGGTTTCAGATCCCCTGGAACTGGAGTTACAGCCTGAGGATGTTAGAAGAGGGTGTCAGATCCCCTGGAACCGCAGTCACAGGCGGTGGGAGCTGTCATGTGGGTTCTGGGAACTGAATCCAGATCTTCTGCAAGACGCCTCTAAGCCATCTCTCCCGCCTCTAACTGAAGGCGCGCTATTCCATGGGTCTTAGCACGATCACGATGCTGTCAGACGCCCCTCTAACAATGAGTATGAGCCCAGCTGAGGAGGCAGGGACAGCTGCCTGGGGATGGGAGTGAGGCTATTAGCAGGTGCGAGGGCTTTGAGGGAGGCCGCGGGGGATCTGGTAGAAGAGTAAAAGAGTAAGGTGCAGGCTTGGAGATGGGGAGGAGAAATACAGATGTGGGGTTCAGGAAGAGTTGCCATTCTACATACAAGAGATCCCCGAGGGAGAGAGAACCATCAGTGGGAGGAGGGAGACACCAGGCGAAGGCCAGGAGCCCTAGACTTCTGCAGAGGTCTGGAGGAGGAGGCTGGAGCATCCACACCAGGCCAAAGGAGGGCGGGCCCCTTTCAGGCCAGACCTTGCATTTGTGCTGGTCTGAGACACGGGAGGACTGGGGTTGTCAGTGCATGGACATGACCTTCTCAGACCTTAATGAAGCTTAATTACTATCCAACAATGGCCCTTTCTTTACCATCTGCCTAGATGTATTGGGATGACATTATTATTCAAGCTTTCTCTGAAGAGAAGTGCACTCTAGGAACCCAACAGAACAGTCATACTCCCAGTGACCCAGGTAGCTAGAAGAAGAAGAGGAGGAGGAGGAGGAGGAGGAGGAAGAAGAAGAAGAGAAAGAAGAAGAAGAAGAGAAAGAAGAAGAAGAAGAGAAAGAAGAAGAAGAAGAAGAAGAAGAAGAAGAAGAAGAAGAAGAAGAAGAAGAAGAAGAAGAAGAAGAAGAAGAAGA